TTCTGGGACCTTGGAGATGTGGGCTGACGTCAACCCTAGGGGGAAAAATCTAGAAGCGGCACATGGACAGTCAGACTCGTGTCGCTTGCGAGCAAGAAGTTTTCGGTGGTGCTCGGCGATGATAGCCGCCCGTTAACGACGCATGTTTCTTCTCTCTCTGGTTATTCCTGTGTTAATAATCTTTTCCCAAATACCCATGGACAAGACCTAGCATCCCCCCGGCCTTGCTGTATCTATTACTTTACAGAGAACGTGGTCTGACACATCACCACGTGCTGGGAACATTTCTCCTTCGGGACGAGCAGATCGCCATCGTCGTGCCTGACCGCTTGGTGGCTTGTTCCTAGCTCCCGCCAGCTACAGGTCCCGGTCCGGGTGGGAAGCCGCATTCTTGGCTGATGACAAGAAATATCTGGCCGGCTTGGCGCTCCGTGAGGCGGCAGGGGAGTCTGCCAGGCCGCAGCCGCCGCACCGATCGCGCGATGCCAAGTCGGCGAGCAGCGCACTAAGGCAGGCGAAGAGGAAGAGAAACGGCTTCCGACTGGTGCTAGTCCAAAATTCGGCCTTCTAGCTCGTAGACCGGCTTAGCAAGGCCGATACGACACTCGTCCTGTTACAGATTGTCACGAAAATTCGTTCATCCCTTTTTAGCGTTGCGACAGGGCTCTCCTAGGCTTCATGTGGGGGGCAAAAGAAAAATTGGCAAGATTGCAAATATCAAGGAAACAATGCCTGAAAAACTTGATTGTAGCGCTCAAGACAAGGGTTCCAATCTGAGCGACCATGACACATTCTAGAAGTTCTCTAAACTCCGATGGTTCATTAAAGTTGTCGAACCAACTGCCATCTCGTCGATTCAAATCACCATTTATATTTTGCTGCTCATCGGCCTTTACTTAATTAGACTTCCTCTCTGGAGTTGGTTCACTGTTGTTCTTTAAAAGTCTGCCCGAGTTCGCCCGGCATTCATGCAACCCACAGAAAATCCCATCTTTTCCCCTCACAGACCATTCGAACCCCCGCGAAATGGAATGGAGCAAGCATGGCCGGGTCACATCAGCAACCTGTGGATCGTTCCAATCATGTCTCATTGGCCTTTGACCCCTGCAAGGGTGTTCCGTAAGTCCGAAAGATAACTTTGACCATCAGGCCGGTTCAGCCGTTCGATCGTTACACTTCATCTATGCATGTGCGTTACCGGCGGTATGGACTTTCCTTTGTCAAAGATAAGGAATTGCTATCTTATCATTTTCCGCCGGACTGCGAGATTTTTCATGACGCCAATCGTATACTGACAATGATGTTGTTGATCGGTCGCCGTTGTGGCTTCACGAGTCAGACTAGAGTGCTAGTCCTGCCGATCTTGGCGCACCTTGTCGAGCTTGCCGCCGTTGTTAGCCCGAGGAGAATGGGCTAAGATGTGTGGCACTACAGGTAGGCCCAGAAGTAAAGCCGGCGCTATGCAAGCATTCTGCAAGTCAAGGACTGCTAGAGGGACACTGTATTCGTACATAATACTGAGGGATAGCTGCCAGTCTGTTCCCTTAATATCAGTATTAGTCTGGCAAGCTTATGATGTCAATGAAGCCTGTTCAAGTTGTCACAACTATCGTTGCTTTGACTTCTTAAACATGGCCTGCCTTCTGCCTAGCCGCCTCACCAAGTAAGTAATCGATCGAAAAGGCGGCTCATGGTCGTAGTTGTGAGACTTGGTATTGTTATCGGAAGAGCCACCTGAACTACCTCAAGAGAAGTAGCTTCCCGCAAACAGCTTCACTTTCGTCCATTCCGAAGTTACCAAGGCATGTAGTGATTTGAACTTCAGAGACATAGACATTCCCCCAAATCAAAGGATCCGCATATCTTCAAGCCAACTGCATCCGTTCATCGGCTGGGCGGGTTCCACGCTGCAGTCGTTGTTCTACTATTGGGTATATGCCCGGGTCGAAAGAAGTAGGGTGTAAATTCCAGGATCTGGTTCCTCCATGCACCCCATTAACGGCGTTCGATTTCGACGCTTGTAATCAATCCTGAACATAGCTCCCATCTCCTTCCTGGCAGCCACGGCTAGTCTCTTTTCGCAGGACGAAATACTTGGCTATCAGAGGCTTTGATCCTTCTCGACGCCGAGTTTCAGAGCGAAATTATAGACCAGAAATATGAACAGCCCTTCAATTGCCATTGAGTGTTCAGCCGTCGACTCATGGATTTGCTATAGACTACGCAATTCCCTTCGCCGTCAAGTCTCTCGCCAGCCTCAAGAAGTCAAGATTTCTCTGTGTGAACAGTTGCTTGCCGAAAGTGGTTCAATAAACGGCTGGTCAATAGTGCAATGAAGCTAAATGATCGTTTCAAGAGAGGCTTTCTACTTCGATCATTCATCACACAGATTTACGAATAAGTTGATAGAGGCTGAAGCTAGATTTCCAAGCTAGATATGTTGCACAGAAACGCAAGCTCATCAATGATGCTCTTGCAGTCTGAAGCAAGGGAAGACACTCAAGATGCATATCTCCACTCACTTGTTTCTCCAGAAATCCTGTCTTGCTCGTCCAAATCTTTGTTCTTCTTCCAACAGTACCATTTGGTGATGAGAACGAAAATCACTGTCAACCCACATCCGGTAATGATAGCACCGCCTCCCGTCTGATAGTATGGTTCCTGGTTTCTCAGAAAGAAGTAAGGCGTAAACCAGTGAGAGACAGAAGATACACTGTTGGCAATTGCAATGAGAGCGGCTCTTTTCGTCCGTGGTCGAGGTACGACAGTTGTCTCCCAAGAAATTTGCAGCTGTTCCAGTCAATAATGGAGATTCTTCAAGAAAGAAAGAAATCCTATGAACGTACATTGAGGCCGAGGAATGGTCCGGTGACCAGCAAAATCATCGAGAAATATCTGGCACCAACGTTGAGTGTTGTGATCATCACAACGCACCCAGCCAGTGTAAACAGCATCGGCACGATAATGTGGTAGCCATGTTCAAGCATTCGACCGGACGACCAGGAAACTGCCAAAGTTACGAGAAAAGCAATAATCGGAGGTGGGGCTTGAATGAGGTACGTCTCGGTAGCGCCGAATCCGAGAGTGGCGAGGATCTAGAGAAGTCTGACGTAAGTAATGAAGTTCGACCTGTGGTGGGAGCTGACGTGGTTTTGACTGACCGATGGAAAGAAGTCTTTGTAAGACTGCGCGATTATAAGGCAGAAATGAATAGCAGAGAAAAGGTATGTGAATGGGTCTTTGAGTGCCATCCAAACTCCACCCCAGTAGTCGCCCTCATCGTCTTCAGTGTGACCGCCGGCCGACACAGTTTGCCGGTACTGAGCCATTTGCGACTCTTCGGCAGTCAGGAAATAGGTGCCAGTCGACTCGGGAAAGTTGGGAATGAACCAAAAGCTTGCCAGACCAATAATGATGCTGACGATACCTACAGCTGTGTTAGTGAAAGGAGAGTCTCGCCATATATCCATAAAACTGACCCTCGAGAAGCAAAAACCACTGCCATGCTGATAGTCCGGCTATGCCATTCATATTGCGGAGGACTCCAGCAGCCAGAAGGCCAGAAATAGCCTGCGATATTGTGTTTCCGGCGTGCCAAATACCCATGCGGAGCGGAGACTCATGCTTCGTGTACCAAGACGACGTCAACAAAGACACCGCTGGCACGAAAGGACCTTCAGTCAGGCCTACTACAAAGCGACACAGGAGAAAGCCCCAACCGGCAGTGACAGCAGGCATACATAAAGTGGTAATGGACCACCCAAGCATACAGCACGGAAGCAAGATTCGTGGCTTTCCCTTCGCGATGATGACATTTGCGGGAACCTGTGAAATGATGTATCCCACATAGAAAAGCGAGATACCGGCAGACCACATCGTATCTGACATGTGCAAGTCATCTTGCATGCCGGCGAGTCGTGCGTTCGAGACGTTGATGCGGTCTAGATAACTGAACATAGGGAGTCAACAACTGAAGGGGTACATCATTGACATAAGAGAACCAAGTGGGGGAGTTCGAGACTCACTTCATCATAAGCATGGCACACACCATTGGGAGAAACTTCCAATCGAGACGTTTGCGAACAGCTCTATCGAGTGCTTTGAGCTCCTCCGGGCTTTTGTCTCTTATGAGGTCGTATGGCTCCAGTAGAGGGTCGCGGGTAGGAGCGTTTTCTTCCCACTCAACCCCGACTTTGACATCGACTGAGCCGCTTTTAGAGCGAGGAGGAGTTGCCATGGTAGTTGGAGACTGTCTGATCCAGAAGAATAGCGCGCGATAAGAAGAATTCAGAAATGGTATCTGACGAGAAGATTCCACATCTTTTGTACTCTTGCGACAGAATGGCCTTGGGGTATTGCTCAATTGAGAAACAGCATTTTGCGACAACAATTTCATAGCCAAACAAGCGTTCAAATTCCCCGCATTGGAGCCCAGTTTCCCCGCGAATCGATTGTGGATGTGTTGCGGGCTGTCTGGGGTTAGTCCAGTCTCTGCCACTACCGGAGCGTGTCCGATGATTGACGACCTTTCCCGGACTGGGTCCGGTCGGCATCAGATCTTGCAACCGGCCAAGTTCTTCGAAATAGGAATTGTGCCTAGACTAGTGATAGCGATTGCTCAACTATTTTACTTCACTGACGGGAATCGCCGCGCTGACTTCTAGGCTGAGGCGTACTTCCGTAGCTGTTTCTTACAATTATCCACCACATACTACTGATCAGGCACTCCGGCTGAACTGACTTGTCAATTAGTATTTATCACGCGTAACGAAGTAAATCATTGTGCAGTTCACTACGCTCATGTGTTATCCCGCTGTATCCGACTCTGTCCATAGTTATACATGATTTACTACAAACATCTATGCAGACTTAGCGGAGCAGCAGTAGACGAGGTTTAGGGATACTTCCGAGAAGTATAACCCACAGTGTTGCGCCCCCCCCCACCCTTCCTCTGCTTAAGTAAGCCTTAACACACTACTCATGTAGCCACCTGTAATCCTCTACGTGAAGGCAAATCGAATGAGTCGTTGAGATCGACGTGGAATAATATCTGGGAAATGGTTCCACGAGACGGTCTTTGAAAAGGTTAGCCAAGCCACATTTGCAGAGAATCGAAAAACATCGAAACCGTCTCACATTAGATGTTGTTTCATCAGTTTCCATACTTCTGGTGGAAAGGCTAAGTAAGACCTGTTGAAATGCTGCAAGTGCAGGAAATCGTGATGCGGCGATCGTCACAAGCGTCGAGGCTTTGCTAATGACTTCTGTCACTTCGGCGAGTCGACGCGCGGCAAAGTCATTTTGACTTCTTCGACGGGTCAGGCATGCAAAAGCGACCGCAGCTTGAAAGATGTCATATGCATCAATGAAGCTGCAAACAAAACTTCCCTTAATAAACAGATCGTAAGATCGGTTGATAAACTGATATGATGTGTTAATGGTATCAGTCTCAAGATCTTGGTTGTTTCCTAGCCAAAATTCATTTCGCACGATTGTTTGAGGCGTCAAAGATGCAAGATGAATCAATGCCCGACAAGATAGCTGTTCAAAAAGATACAGAAGATGCGGAGCAGAAGGCGATTGACGATCAACGTTGGGAGGTAGATCTCTCCAATGAACGATATTACTGTAGGTAAGTAGAATGTCCTCTCGTCTTCCTGACCGGATACTTGAAACCAGTTGAGAGTAGAGTACAAGATAGCGAATGATTTGCGATATTTGATGCGGCGTCTCCGTTGTAATGGATAGGCCATCGTCTTCCGCTGGGAGCTGAAGCATTTATGTCAACCTTGGATCGACGGACTAAATGCCTACGTGGTGCCTTCAACTTACTTGTACCGAAATGTAATCATCCTGGATGCTCAAAGGGCGGTCCATGACAAGGCTGAGCATGCTAGGGCAGAGTTCAGTATTGGAGATTCTAAGTTGATCACGGACACAATTATGGCATACCGGTCAAAGGAGTACACGGCCCAAAACAACCATCGCCGTCTGTCAGCTTCAGGTAGCCCAATGCTCGAGTTCACGTCTGGCTCTCGGTGCAGATCGAGCGAGATACATGTTTTCATAGCCAGACCTAATAAATGCCAGGCAGAGCCACCGGAGGAGTTATAAAGAGAGTAGATAGTAAGCATGATCATGCAGTGTATGTGCTCAAGGGTCGATTCGGTGCGCAAGATGGAAGGAAGTTCGCCGAGGGCGGCAGAGTGAAGGCTTGCGTTAAGAAATGAAAGGTGAGTAGAAGTCGGAGAGAGCGAAATTCCAATAGCGCAAGCCATGTGAAGATTGAAAACATGTAATGGCGGAGGGCTCTGTGCAGCATGGCAGTCAGTTCTACATGCCATAACATCCTCACATTGCCGGAGATAAATGTCCTTGTCGATGTATGGCATAATGATTGGCCATTCCAGGAATTTCCGGACATGCTCAAGCGTTAGATCCTGGCTCTCTGAACTGAGGCGACTGTTCATATCAGGAGTTTGAGGTGCCGGCATAGCTGCGGATGGGTCGCGTCCATCAATAGCCAAGGCCCCGGAGATCACCTCTGCTAAGGAAAACTTCCTGGGTAGATCATCGGAATTATCTCGGGGCTCGGCCATTGCATTTCGTGATAAGAAGCCGATCGCCCCCATTGTGGCTCTCACAGAAGAATCTTCGGTGCCATGTCTATTGATGTTGACAGTGTCGAGCGCACGGCTTGAGGTTATCGAGATAGCATCTCGAGGTATCGTAAGACTGTCATCCATTGGAGAAGAGCCATGACATGATTCAGCGCGACCGCTGTGCGTACGCGACCGTTTTCGATGGAGCGATTGTTCTTCCAGATTGGCGATCCGTCTTTTCAATGACGACACGTAACTTAGATTCATCAGCAAGCATATCATTGGGCAGAAGACTAGGCTATACTATTACCCAATGACTGAAGTGTGAGACAGCTCAGATACTGTGTTGAAATCTTGGTTCCGTGGGATACACTCGGCCCCTAGCCCACTGCACGAGGTGCATGCCGGCAGACGTCGGTCGCACTGATGACTGTCAGCTAATACTGATTTGTATGGAATCTGAACATCGGGATTCTAACTTTTTGTTTCCTCTTCCAACATCTTTCGCAAGCTTGTGGGCGAGTTTCCGTGGATGTTAAGGGCGACTCAGGTGTTCCCCTTAAGTTCGGAGCCTCCTGCGCACATGCAGACGAAGTCGAACTCATAGCCCCACTCACTATTCTTTCATATTAAATGGTTCACAGTCCGCGATGAGCCAGGTAGTGGAGGTGGGCGGTTGGGAACAAATGGCCGTCGTCGAGTTGGCATTATATGTGAGGTGGAAGCTGCAGGCTCAGAGTCTCGCACCTCCGACTGTTTGCCGACGTTGCGGGGTTTGACCCCCAAGCCTCCGTGGGGAAGACTGTGGAGGATCTGATTGGGCCACCCCCACATCTCATAGAGATGGACCACAGTTAGAGTCACCAGGGTTAATAAAGAGGCTACCATGCGATCTGATCAGTTATTGCCAGATTCGAAGCATCAATAAGTGACGGTCAGGGTTTCAAGATACAACGTGACAAGCAGGAGATCTACCCTCAATTCCACGTATATTTTATGTTTGCCAGACGGCAGTATTTCCTCTCGCAAGAGAGATACTGGTTGTGATGGGATCTATGATTTGCCATTTGTATGGGCAGTTGCCCTGATACTGAGGCTAGACATCTCCGCCGCTCTCTTCGCGGCACCGGCAATAAGCAAGGGGCCATCCGTTGCAGCCATGACCCAGCGCGCACCCATTTGACAAAACTTTTCCACAAGATCCATACGTGAGTGAAGACCTCCCACGCCAACCCACTTTCCGTGCTTATTGCAGGCAGCGATCGTCCGCTCATAGGCTTCCGTGAGCCTAGGGTTTTCGTAGTCGCCAGGGATACCCATCTCAGCCGTCAGATCGTTGGTACCGATAAGTAGAGAGTCCACTCCTTCAACTGCTGCAATCTCGTCGACTAGCTCTAGTGCCTCAAGAGTCTCGATCATTGGTATAACCAAAGTAGCGTCATTTGTGATGGGATTGGAGACCTTGGCAGGAATCGTACGGAACTGATAATGAGGCAGTCCGTTGGTTGATGATCGTGTGCCGATAGGTTGGAACTTGGCAGCCGCAACAACGTCTCGTGCGTCTTGCACACTGCGAATATGCGGCACAATAACACCAAGGGCACCACCGTCTAGGATCCTTGAGACAAAAAAGGGGTCCTTGCTGGGCGCTCGTACTATTGGCGAGATCCCGGCGTACAGCGCGGCAATGCACAGTTGAGAGGTCGTCTCGAGATCGAATGAGGAATGCTCCATATCGACGAGGATCCCGTCGAATCCTGCTGTCTTAGCCATCATGGGAAGTTCTACCGACTTGACTAGTTTGACGCTCAGAGTCGATGCAACCTCATCGCGGAGGAGTTTCTCCTTGAATGAGTGGGGAATAGAAACGGCCATTTCGGTTGGGAGTGGGAATGTTGAGTGTTGAGGACTATGATTGATTGATTTGCAGTGTGAAAGAATTCTTGGAGCACATGTGACAAAGGTATTGTTATATGGCTTTCCAGTTCTTGTTCGTGGACGGATGCCCGGAGCCATGCCGAGGATTTCCATAACCTCTTCGGCGCTTCCGCAAGCTTTTCGGCCCTCCGATCCCATGTTCAAATACAATCATTACCGAAACTCTTGGCCGGTCGTATGGCAAGTGTCTATAGTGTTGTTCCTCCATAAGATTGCAGCCGACATATGGAGGCACCGGGGGCCGTCCGATACCTTCGGACCACCTCCGGATGGGTGTACAGGGCATGTATGGTGACTGATCTTCGTTGCCACCGTGTGGTCATTGACTCCGATATCCTGTTGTGTATTTTATGAATCAAATCGCAGTCCTCCAAATGTTCATACATTTCCATATACAACGAACTTCAGACGATGCTCCAAGATCACGAATCGAGAACGTCACAAACTCATCTTCAATCACCGCCGACTGTTGTTTCTCACTACGATCAATAAATCTGTCAATATGACTCCAGGGCTCGTATCTGATCAATCTGAAAGCGTTCTTCTCGGTACTAAGCCAACCGTGTATGTCTTGGATTCATTTCAGCCTGAGATCATCGACTTCTGCAAACAAAATTTCAACGCAATCCTACCTGGACAGTCCGAACATGCCAACTGGAAGGAAAACGCTCGTTTTCTTCTTGTGCGGAACTCGCGTCTCACAGCTGAGGATATCGCTGCTTGCCCGCATCTCCTTGCAATAGGGAAGCAGGGTGTCGGAATTGACAAGATCGATGCTGAGGCCTGCTCTAGACGTGGCATCAAAATCTTCAACACACCCGGCGTCAATGCGCGAGCTGTGGCCGAACTTGTTCTGGCTTTGACGACAGCCGTAGCAAGACAAGTTGGAAGCATTACACGGAAACAAACTTCTGGTATTCTTGTACCCAAGGAGAAGTGCTCGGGTATCATTTTGCACCGAAAGACGATTGGCGTACTCGGCATGGGCAACATTGGAAAGGCTGTTGCCCAGATTTTCCGCGGAGCGTTCGAAGCTGACGTTGTGGCTTACGACCCTTATTTGCCTAATGAGGCCTGGTCTGATATTCCTCATCGCCGAGCCCAGACGGTTTCGGATCTGTTATCAGTTTCCGACGTGGTGACGGTCCATATGCCGTTGACATCCACCACTAGAGATCTCATGGGGTACAAGCAGTTCAAAATCATGAAGAGAACAGCCATAGTCATTAACACAGCTCGAGGAGGCATCATAAACGAGTGTGAATTGGAGCAAGCCTTGTCAGAAGGCCTCATCTGGGGCGCTGGTCTAGACTGTCACGAGGAGGAACCCCCTAGCAGGGAGAAATACGGATCGTTGTGGGACGTTGGTGCGGTTAGTACGCCGCACATTGGGGCAGCGACTAGAGAGACTCAAGTCCAAACGGGCATGGCAGCAGCTACTAAGCTGTTTGAATACGCGAGGAGTAGGGCGTAGATGGGAAGCAGCGCTGAATCAAACTTGAGGTTCTTTCATTCCTACTGGACTTGAGATCTTGATTAGTCGGCAGCCAATACGTTCAGAGCCTGATTACAATATACTGCCTGATTGCAATGTACTGCCTACCTTCTAAATCATCGCGGAGATTTACTGTAAGCCGTATGTATCATTGAAACTCAAACGCATCGAACGCTCCAATGTGCCTCTCTGGATCACCGTACACATATTCCCCCAAGGCGGATTCCATATTCCATAGTGCCTCGTCTCCTAAAAGCGCCCAGTCCATGAAACCGCTTCCCGGGGAAAAAGTGGCTGTGGCTGGTATTGGCCCACACGTGTTTCTCGAACCGTGGGATAATGTTATAGGATTGCCCACCATGGCTCTCTCAACGGCAGGCACAAACGAAAGGTTGCTCGGAATGCTTCCTGGAAAGTTTGTTTCTTGAACTCTGGCATCAAGATTCGTACTCAGGGCACTGGGTCCTGAGACGCACTGCGAACCAAGAATCGAAGATCCTGAGGCTACCAGAGGTTCAGAGAATCTTTCTGATGATTGCCGGAACCCGGCTCTCGTGTATTCCAGTGTTTTGCTTTGAGATAGGACGTCAGATTGTAAGTTCTCGAGAACTTTGTCTAGTTTTCGAGTGGTGTTTCGTCGAAGAGCTTCAAAGACGGCAACATATTGTTTGGCACTTGGTAACTGCTCCGCCATGTTCTTTAGAGTCTCTTCACACCGAATCAGTCCGGCTGAAGCATCCGAAAGACCTTCTTTGTCTATTTTCGTTGCGGTAGAAACACAAAACAGCACCGAAAGACCAGCGGTAAACATCATGTGAAAATAGCTGCGGGTATGTGTGGTGAGTGGTCGCTGTTGGCACAGTCTTGAGTAAGCCCAAATCGTTCGAAGTGCAATCCTGAGGCATAGGACGGAAATATGATGGGGCGTCTTCCCGCCTCGTTTGGGCATAAGATCAATGGCTCGTCGGACTAGGTAAAGTTGCTCCCTAGCCAGTAAGAGATCATACCAGTCCTGCGACTCATACAGACATTTGGGCTGCTGGAATGTCGGGCAATTATCTCTCCAGTTCTGTAGGTCTTGCATCAAGCAGCTGAGAGTTTGAAATATATGACCAGGAGCCAGATGACTCTTGGGAGGTTGAAGGTAGTTGCAGGCAAGTCTAGAAAATTCGGAGTGGATTCTGGAAGAGATTTGCCGCAAACGCACGGAGATGAAGAAAACGGTCATCTCGGTCGTGTCCAGGGTGGCGTGAGATGATCGAAAATCCTCAAAATTGCTTGAAATTTGATTAGCAGTAACAATTTCCTCGTCATTTGCATCCGCCGGAAAGCCGACTTCAATATCGCGATCATCGATACTAAATGGTTTTCCCAGGACCGTAGAGCTATATCTGTCGATCATGTAGACTTGCCAGAAAACTCGTCGCTTCATTTGAACTTGCATGAAGTTCATGGAGTCGTTATCATTGTGGTGCAATTCTTGTTCGATGCACAGACGACCACATAGCCGAACGACATCCCAAATGGACGTGCCTTTTCACAATGAGCATGGCTCGTAATTCATTCGTTAAAATTCGAACGAGACATACCTATCCGATGATAGATACCAAAGCGGCATATTAAGAGCAGGTCTTGGATTGAGGCTAGGCCTCGTGTAAGAAAGTCTGGCCCCATACGTTGCAAGGCAGCGAGATAGTATCCTTCGGGGTGCTGGCCGTGGGTGCCATTCAGGAATGGAAGCACTGAACCGATTGCAAGAATCATACAGGCGCGAAATAGATCGTGATTTGAAGCAGGTTGGCCGGCCGATTCGTGTGAGAAGACCCGGCCACAGAGACTCTTGACCTCGTCTCGGCGAAGAAAAGGACTTTGCACGTGAGACCAACTCAGACTATGTAAAATTGTCACAACAATGGTTCGATGGGTGCTTGAAGAGGGAATCTTACTATTTATCGAACAGAGCCTTGCCTTCTTCGTCTGGAGGAGGACCACAAGGTTGAAGAATAGGTTCAGAGGCGCTAGGAACTCTCGCCAATAGTTGTAGTAATTCGGTGTTGTTACTTCTCAAGTCTGGATCTGCGAAGAGAGAAGCCATGAATCTATTTGAATCTTAGTCATATTACTGTGCAGGCGCCATAGTCAATTGCGAACTCACCCGAGTCCCTCTCCGTGTGAGACAGTTGAGTTCTCGATCGAGATGACAGTCGGACCAGTCTCTGCGGCAGGCTGGTTCGCATCGTCACACGATTGGACCTCATCGGCCGGCAAGGTGTCCACATCTTGAGTCAACTGTCTTTCAAGCTGTTCTAATCGATCTATTTCTCTACGCGAATTCGTCAGCTCCCCAAGTATTTAACACTCAAATGTAGCGAGGTACATCAACGCCTACGCTCGTGAAAGTGTTCTGTCACCACCAGAATTGAGCACAACACAGTCGCTGCCAGTTTTCGAACACGGAGTACATGTTGGCCTGGTGCTGTCACACTGGGCAATACATATTAGCCCCCCGCTTACGTTCTTGAAGTCGACAGCGGCACATACTTTGATTTTCTTCTGATAACATAAGTGGCAGGCTGGGAGCCGGGGTAGTCGATCTGCTGCGGAGCTCATTCTTCGAGCCGAGCTGTCAAGTCAAGGAATGCTTTCAAGAATAATGCGCAGATTGCAGCTGGTGTAGCCCATGTGTTAAGCGATCGATATTGATTGTGACACGATTTTCGGAGTGGCTCCGACGGTGCGTTTGAAGATGGGCAAATCGGCTTTGGCTCGGCTACTTTGGTCACAATTGCAAAGTGAGGGGTTGACCCCTCCCTGTAATGGGTCGGAATCACTCCGAGCAAGTTGCTTTGCGCGGGCATCCGAATCTTACTGACTCCGCCGTCTCGAGTGACTTTCTTTTCTGCAATAAAATTGCTAATAGCACCTGTAAACGAATGCAAAAATCTAACGTCATTGGCATATCTACTATCGCCTAAGGCTTGGCTGCGGTCGTGCGCCTCGACAATGCCAGTCGAGCTTTTGAATATTCCCCTCCAAGCTATCTGTGATAAAGAGGGTCTTATTTTCTGAACCACCAAAGCAGCAGTTCGTCAAGTTGATGCCGGATGTTCCACTCACGATGCGTGCCTTGGGGATCCCATTGGAATCAACCACAAATACGGACCCCAAACTTGGATGACAGATGAAAAGACTGCCTTCTTCATCGATCGCCAGGCCGTCTGGGCCAGCGTTTCCAAATGACTGGAAAAAGACGCCAGCTTTGGTTGTTGTTCCATCGGGATGAAGAGGAAGCCTCCAGACCTGGTTGGATCTCGTCATGGCGACGAATAAGAACCTTTCATCAGGTGAGAGAACCAGTCCATTTGGGGATACTCCATTTTCTACAAGTGTCTCCAGCTTTCCGTCAGGTAAAAGCCGGTAGACTTTGCCAGTTGGATCTGTCATGCCGGTTTGACCTTGGTCGGTGAAGTAGATGCTTCCTTTCGAATCGACAATCAAGTCATTTGGGCCTTTGAATCGCTCCAAGTGACGCCGGGTGATCAACGGTTTGATCTTCCGATCAGAAGGATCGAAGGAGAGTATTCCCTAAGCACAACCGTTTCGGTGAGGCCGAGATCCCAGGAGTAATACCGCGGTTTGGATCTACGAACCTGCTTGTAGTCGGCAATAACCAGTCGACCATCGTCAGTTGCCGCAAGCCCATTAGGCTCGCCGTCCCATTCTGCAACAACACTTATAGTCTTTTTTGGGTCAATCTTGAGGATTCGGCCGTAGGGAATGTCCACTATGTAAAGGTTGCCAAGATCATCGACGATTGGGCCCTCAAGGAAGATGTGTTGAAATGGGCGCGCAAAGCCACCTCGCCACTCAGTTTCTTTGCCATGGCAACGAAGCTCATCTGGAACTCGAATGTAGAGTTCAGCTTGTATGATCGGAGGTACCGGGTAGAAGTTCATTGCGTGCAGTAACGTAGACGATTATTGTTCAATTGGCGATAATGAAATTCAAGAAGACAGTGCAAAAAGTCAAGGAAGCATGCTAACCTTGAAAGAAGCGGGCATTCTATCATCGCTATTCTCTTTGGTGCTTCGCGAGGTTTATGCGACCATGCAATCGACCTGGACGGAAATCATCCGGTGGTCCTGGTGTCGTCGGACTGAGCCCGGACCTAACTTTCGGTGTGTGTCCGGGTGGTGTTTAGAACGGTTACGTTAGTGCTCCACTGCTCTACGCACACCTTCCCCGAATTCTGGGGTTTAGCAGCTTACGGGGTCCGGGGAAAGCTAAGGGAGCATGCCGTGAGTAAGAGAGAATATTATTTCAGGACCGTCCTTGCCAGCATTTTGAAGATGACAACTTGTTACGTGTAGGAATCAATCCCCACGGAGGATGTTATTTCTGCAAGCTTCTTACAATGTCTCTCATCAAGGCCACAACTGCAGCCATACGGGACAGTCCCAGAGAGATCTTCAACCGCTATTTGTTTATATGCACCTGGACATGGAGCTTCTCAGGGGTGGCGAAAGGTTTTGACGAGGGTAAGTCACAGTATTTGACTACTGTTATTCTCAGAGAATACTTGCTAATGAATAAATTTCGTAGGTAATATTGCATCTGTAGTCACCATGGCCGTCTTCAAAACCAGATTTGGGATCGATGGCCAGTCCGAGAGCGAGTACTCAAATACCAAAGGCTGGATCGTGGCTATCGCAACGGCTGGTGCTGTTTTTGGTTGCTTGGCTTGCGTAAACCTTACTGAGAAGTTGGGCCGCAAACGAACGATGCAGATCTTTACATTGATTTATGTTGCTGGCATTCTCGGGCAGACTTTCTGTTCTGGAAATATGGCGGGACTTTATATTTCTAGAATCATCGCTGGTATGGGTATTGGTGCTACAACTGTGCTGCCTCCAGTGTACATCTCCGAGGTGAGGATGAGGTCTCCTATGAAGAACGATGACCGCAAAGATTGACTCGCGTTGTAGATTGCACCTCGATCGATCCGCGGTCTTTTGACTCTACAGTACACATGTTGTCAGCAACTTGGCGTTGTATTCGGCTTCTTCTTCAATTACGGCATCACGAAACACTACGCAGGGAACCAAATCCAATGGCAATTACCGACTGCCCTTCAAGTTGCACCGGCGATTGTCTGGGGCCTGGGAACATTCTTCACGCCCGAGTCTCCCCGTTTTCTGCTCTCTTGTGGAAAACCAACAGAGGCTCTCAAGGTCCTCTGTGACTTCCGTTGTCTGCCAGCCGATCATCCATATGTTGACGATGAGTTTCGCGCGATGCAAGCACAGTTGGAACACGAATTGGAGATTGTGTCAGGCGCTTCGGTTTTCGATCTTGCTAAAGAGACGTGGAGCGATATGCCAAATAGACGACGATTTGTATTGATGTTTCTAGCGCATTTGTTTTCTCAGTGGAGCGGAGCCAATGCCATGTAAGTGCAACGACCCCTACAGCGACAATACCCCTCTGACTTATGGCCCGTTTCAGCACGCAGTACAGTCCGTCCATCTTTGGGTATCTGGGAATACAGGGTGAAGAGGGTCGTCTTCTTGCTACCGGAGTCTATGCCATTGTCAAGTTTGTTTCAGTCTTAATATTCTCGGTCTTCGTTATCGACTTCATCGGCAGAAGGCGATCTCTTCTCACCGGAATCTGTCTCCAAATTACCACGCTTCTTTTCGTTGGTATTTACCTCAAGATCACCAATGGACGTGACCCAGAAGACATTTCTGCAGATCCAACAGCGCGACGAGCAAGCGAAGCTGCCATCGCGGCCATTTACTTGCATGCAATCGCATGGTCTATAGGATGGTTTTCCATCCCATACCTCGTCAGCGCAGAAGTTTTCCCCATTAGAATCAGATCTCTGTGCGTATCTGTTCTCATGGCCTTTCACTGGGCCTTCTACTTTGGCTGCTCGCGAGCTATGCCATCCCTTCTGGCCGCTACAGAACGCTATGGCGCGTTCATATTCTTTGCGAGCATCTGTTCTGTCTCACTCGTGTACGTTTATCTTGCCATGCCGGAAACCTCTGGGAGATCCTTAGAGTCAATGGAGAACCTGTTCAACCGGCCTTGGTACACCGTCTACAAGGTTGCGTATCCAAAGGCTGAAGATCTTGCAGCTCGCCCGGTGGTGAGACAAGACAATGACAAAGGGGAAGGAGGGAAAGAAGAAGAGAATGGTGCGTCTATGCACCTGGCTTAAGACTTGATTGCCTATTATAGTATAGATTCTATGAGCGACAGTTTGGTTTCTGAAGCTCTCGGGATGACTTGACGTGTACGCTGCCCTGTCTTGCTGAACTTGCCTTCAAGTCTTGGCACAGACACCTTTGAGACGGTAATAGCTGTTTTGTTTGAGCTTCGAATCTGTGTACCAAATAATCAGAAAGTCCAGAAAATTTGGTGTTTGAGAGGACCCGGCCTCGCCTGTGTTCGTAAAAGTCTTTTTGGGTAATGACTCTGTTCGGGAATCTTACCCGAATTTTCTGCCTTGTCATTCTTTCTGACAAGGAAAGTCTGAGCTTAGGGGGTAAGGTGGGATACTTTGGGGATCTCTGAGTCTAAAAGCATTGGGCGCCAGGCGTCTTATCAAGATCTATGCCCTACCTTCTTACCTTCCTAGTCCAGCAGTGACGCAACACAGGCTTTTGTCAAAAGTAACTTGAAAATAGAAGATGGAACGATCGGAGCTAAATAACCACAGATCGACCGAGGACTTTCCGCGGCTCTGCGGCTTGCTCCGGACTGTCGCGACACTGACGGAATTGGAATCCTACGCTGCCCAGAGCTCGTCCGAGACTAGATGTGACGGACTTTGGCTTTGTCCATTCCTGCCTTAGCATAGGGCGGAGCCAGCGGCTTTATTCGTCCCACACATTGCACTGCCTATCTTTTTTAGCCATCATCGCGATGATGCTCTTGATCATATAAGCCCATCGCATCCTGGACGGGTGCCGACGGACTCCATGTCTGAGCTCCAAACCTTGTAGACCGGACGACTCCAGCTGTTCCCCCGTGGCCCCTGCTTCCTCTTGTACGCCAACCTGAGTGGCTAGGACATATTCCCAAAGCAACCGTAGAACACGCATCACGCGTCAGTCTGGTTTCAAACCCCGTATACGATCAGCTACAGCTGACCAATATCGCTGGTCGGTCAAGTTGGGGGATTCCGACGATCGTTGGCAGAGTCGGCAAACTCCTGCTGCCTGGTCGTATAAAGTCAACGTGTCTTGTGTTCACGCTGAGTTGATGAGTAGTTAGTGGTGTCAATGAACTTGTGTCACTGTTAGTAAGATGGACATTTTGAAGACGAATCCTGTTTATCTCGGTGGTGCGCTCGTATGCATCGCACTGGCTGCGGTACGTTTCCAACTCACCGGGCTTCTCACTGATGTATCTAAAAGTACCTACCACTGACAAATGGCTTGCTAGTACGTCTATGCCGGGCTCACAAACCCGTTGTCGAATATTCCTGGGCCATGGTACACCAGGTTCACAACACTGCCATCGACATTCAAGGTCATCACAGCACACCACCCCGATTGGATCCACGATCTACACGCCAAGTACGGGCCGGTGGTGCGGTACAGTCCACACGAGGTCGATATTTCTGATCCACCAACATGCCAGCGGATTCACAGCGTGAAGACCGGATTCTTCAAGTCGCCATTCTACTCACTTCTCATCACGGATTCCTCTAGCGTGTTCAACGAGATACGCCCAGAGATCCACCGCAAGTACAAGCGTTTGTTGTCGAATCCCATGTCAGAGACTGGCTTGAAGACGTTCCTCCCTCGCATCGACAGTAAGGTCCGCTTGGCTATTGAGCGCATCCGTGACGAAAACAAGGTTCGAGGTGCAGCCGACATTGCGAAGTGGTTTATGTTCCTCTCGTTTGATGTTATCGGTGATCTAGCCTTTGGAGAGTCCTTCGGCAATTTGGAAAGCGGCAAGGTATGTGGCATCCTCTTCAAAGTTCCGACGAGACATTTGGGGCTTGCACTAAAACCCATGGTTTCGAGTAGAAGAACCGATCTGTCAACGACTTCGTCAGTCTCGGTTTCGTCGGCGGATTACGGTCCATGTTCCCCACAATCGCCCAAATCTCTCTCTACCTTCCGATTCCAGTCTTCAAAGAAGCCACCGCAATCCAATACCGTACTTTTGACTACGCTCAGGGTGCCCTAGACCGCCACGCTAAGCGCGTCGAAGAGACTGGATCAGATCCCCACCCGACAGTCTTCTCCAAGCTCTACAACGCCGGCGAAGAAGAGACCTGGAACCCGATCGAGATCCGCGACAACGCGCAGGTCTTCATCGTGGGTGGCAGCGACACGACCGCCAACTCGATGATCTACCTCGTCTGGGCAGTGTGCAAGATTCCCGAGATCAAAGCCAAGCTCATGAAAGAGCTGGATGCTCTTCCGGACAACTACACATACGATCAGTTGAAGGAGCTGACGTATGTGAACTGGATTGTAAATGAGACACTACGGCTTTACACCGCTCTGCCGTGTGGGCTTCCAAGAATTGTACCCCCTGGCGGCGCGGAGCTTGCGGGACAATTTATTCCCGAAGGATTCACTGTTACAACGCAGGCGTACAGTCTTCACCGGGACGAACATGCATTCCCTGACCCCTATAGATTCTATCCCGAGAGGTGGGAGAATACCACGCAGGAGATGAAGGATTGCACCATGCCCTTTGGCGGTGGTGCCCGAAGTAAGCACTACTCCGAACCACGGCAGCTCTCGCCGTTGAGAAAACGTTTTGCTGACAGCGAGAAACAGCTTGCTTGGGAAGGCATTTGGCTCGTATAGAGCTCCGGCTCATCACTGCCAGGTTTTTCAAGGCTTTCCCGAAAGCAGTTGTGTCCAATCTCGAAGGCATGTGCGACAAGGATATGGAGCCAGCGTTGCATTTCCTGATGGTTCCCAGCGGTCATCGATGCTTGATTAAGCTCGATGGCTAATTGTACATTGGACTGTTGGCATAGAGAAGAACATGAGGGACATCATGAGTTCTTTGGATACGTCAAATTGTACCGTGAGCCTCATTTTCGCGAACCAGTGTGGAACCAAGTCGGTTGGACAGGACTTGGAAGGGCAGAAGCGGGGCAGAAGCTGAACCAGCTGGCTTCGGGACCCCTTGCGGAAGCAGAAAAGATCCGGCAGGCTGCATATCTCAGCCTGCTTACGTGGGACGATGACTGACCGTATGGAGACTTCAGAGCTTCAATCAAGCTGAGCTGACACTCCTGTACTGTGATGTTCTTCTCGGAAGCCAAGGCATTTAGTCCGGCGGGGAATTCGGATGCGTGAGTAAACTTTCCCATGTCATACCGCGTTGTGGAACTGGGGTACGGACCGCTAAAGATGGATGTGCACATATCGAGGTACTTTCCCTATGAAAATGAAATCAATTGACTGGAAGTACATGATCCTACACAGCCTAGCCATTGGGAACTAAAGCCCGCACGTTATCTCCTCTAGTAGGGGAGGTCTCAGCTAATTCCATAGATGACAAAGACACAGCTGAGCTGCAGCAACCCGCGGGCGATACGGAGCGGGGCTCAAGGGCGCCGTGCCCCGCCATCGGCTGCAAGGACCCCACTACCCCGCTGCGGCCCCCTTGCGGCGGAATGGTTCGACCGCGCCCTATGACTTCATGCTGAGCCGCCCGTGGTTCAGACTTCCTATGTAAGCCTCGACTAGCACACACCTCTTCACCGCCACATCCATATCATACGCTTGTGCCCTCCTCAAAGCCTCAATTGACTGCCCCTGAGCTCAATCCATCTCATTGACACCCCATACACCGAAGCAATGGCCGAAACACCAAGCGCAAAGCGTCAAAAGTCCTCCAAGGACGTCTCCTACGAACTCATCTACTGGCCAGGCCTCCCCGGCCGCGGCGAACACGTTCGTCTCCTCCTCGAGGAGGCCGGCGCTGAATACACCGATACCGCACAGATCGAAGACGGCGTCAAGAGCGTTCTGGCTCAGATCGACGACAAGAACCTGGGCGACGAACACAACCCGCCTCCCTTGGCGCCTCCCATCCTGAAGCATGGAGACCTCCTCATCAGCCAGACGCCTAACATCCTGCTCTACCTCGGACCACGCCTCGGCCTCGCACCCAAGATCGCAGAGGGTGACGACGGCATCTACATTGTCAACGGTCTTGCACTGACTGCGCTGGACGGACTCAGCAACGAGGCTCACGACACGCACCACCCCATCGCGACGGGGCTGTACTACGAGGACCAGAAGGAGGAGAGTAAACTCAAGGCGAAGGACTACATCGCCAATCGGTTGCCCAAGTTCTTTGGGTACTTTGAGCGGGTGCTCAAGAGCAAGGCCAGCGGCGAAGGTCCATGGCTTTACGGAGGCTCTTTGACATACGCTGACTTGGTGCTCTTCCAGGTAAGATATCACTTCCGAAGCGCTGTGGTTCTAAGGATGCTAATTCGATCAGTGTATCGATGGTCTCAAGTTCGCGTTCCCCAATGCTCTGAAGCGAATCGAGGCTACTGGCGACTACAAGGGTCTTTTTGCGCTCTATGAGGCCGTCAAGGAGCGGCCCAAGATCAAAGAATACCTCGCTAGCGACCGTAGACAAAAATATTCGCAGGGCATTTACCGTCACTATCCTGAATTGGATGAAGAGTGACAGTGAGACTGGTGTCATCTAGAAAGGTTCACTGCCCGAACATATGTTAGGATGGACGAGTTGCAATAAAAGTCATATGTTCAAGCTCAAATAGCCGTATATGTTTCATTCAACATATGGCATTGTTTTCCCAATCATCCCATTCTCGGTAGCCCGTTCGCTCTTGCCGTCTATTGCGATCTCATACCATTTTGAAAGTTCACCCAGTTGTTTGTTGTTCTGCTTTAGAACACACCACAATTCCTCGCGTCTTCACAGCCTTTGGACCCCGCCTCATCTTTTTCCCCACACCACCTCAATCTCTTGACCCTTTATTCTATTGCCACCCCGAATGCTTTTTGATTATCCCAATCGCATCACCAAAGCATACACATACTTAGTGGTCTTGAATTTTGAGAGCGATATCGGAAGATCACGTTACTCAGTCATTTTCAAGCCGCCCAGCATGAGCGATCAACAGAATCCCGCACCTCTCAAGGATCCATCGAATAAGGAGTCGACTCTCAACGCTCCTGGCAACCAAAATCCATCGATTGCCAGGCTCGCGAGGTCTTGGGGCCCTTACACACCTCCCGACATGAGCTACTACGCTCTAGAGGTGAGTATCCTTAGCAGTCTGTTTATTATTTGTCATTGCCGCCTTAATATCAAACCACTGACTGATCTTAATGGTTTTGATAGCACGATGACCCAGTCTTGCTGGAGAATATCAAGATGCTCAAAGAACTCACGTCTGAGTGCGACGAAGATCCTACCGACCTCCTCGACGTTGTGATGAGAGTTCCACCTAGGCTGAGCAAGTCGATTGTTTACCTGACGGTTGGGCTCCTTCAACACCAAAAGCTGGTCGAAAATTTACTCATGGTGACCGAGCTGCGTGCTGAGAATGATGCTGGGCCCATCAGAAACACAAAGAACGGCCAGAACGTGAAGAAGGTGAAGAAGACAAAGACAAAGACTAGAAAGTTGGCCGACATCAATGAGGACAACGAGGACGATGAGAATGGTGGTTCCATGGCTCCCAAGGGTCTAGAGAAGAATGGCCAGAAGAACGAAACAAAGGACAACATGAGCAAAGCTTTTGGCCCCGCCGAGAGCAATACTGTGGCCAACACCAATCATCTGGCGGTACCCAAGAGCAAAAGGAAGAAGGCGAAGAAGCAGAAGGCCGGCAACGCCATTGGGATTGCTGAGAGTAATTCACAGCTCAACACCGACCAGCGAGCAGCCTCCTTGAATACGAAGGCCACGGCAAAGCATAAGAGTAGCGGAGGCTCTAGGACTATTGAGAGTAACGCTGGAGCAATCACCAAAAAATCGACAGTCTCTAAGGGCAAGAAAGTCAAGGCAAAGGCGAACATTGACAACAATTCCAAGACCGTGAAGAACCACCCAGGAGCCAATATCAAACAGCAAGCAATACCCAAGAACAAGAATAAGATGGCTAAGACCAACAAGAAAGACAGTGCCGCGGAAACCCATGAGCAAGCTAAGAAGACGCAGCCCAAGAGTGCCCCAGAGTCGTCAAACGCGCAGAACAACAATAAGGTCGAGAGTTCCCCCAAGCCCGACGAGGGTGAGAAGAAGGCAAATGTCAGCGAGACAATCGATGGCGGATTCTTCTCCGTCCTTGAGATCGAGTGCATGAAGAAAATTCAGGGTCGCATTGAACGCGGGATCAGAGATTGCCAGGAAGTGTGGACTGTGGTGCAACAAATGGAGGAGGCGGCAGAGTCGGAGTGGGCCAAAGCCAGAAAGATGCAAACCCAAGAACAGGCGGAGTGCTCCGCTAAGGGCGGTTAGTCTTTACTCCAAAGGATCCCATTGAATCTGACCTCAATGTCACTTGTCAGGAGAGCGGAATTTGGATGAGGAGAATGACACAGTCTGGGTGAACAGCCTGAGAGGGGACGAGGTGAACTCCAGGCTCAGGAATCGTAGGCAAGACTTGGCAGCTCTTGATCTATATATCCTTCACCAGTCATCCTTATAGAAACTGCAGCAGTGTGCTCATTCATCAATGAACGTGAAATGCGAAGTATGGTGTGAGAAGATGAACCTCTTTATCTGGATTAGGCAAGGAACTCTTGATCAAAAAAGCACTGGCTATATTCACATTAATTGAGTAAGAACTGGAGATGCTGGTGAGAATTCCATCGCGGACACAACTTGAACGACTGTGTGGTCGAAAATAAACAAAACGATACTGAGGCAGGCGCACCCCTTTCGCACCTGCACCTGGGGCGAAGAATATTTTCCCAAATCTCACTTTTCAGCTTTCTCTCGCCTTTCTCCCTCAAGATAAGGTACTCACTCCATTCAACACACTCTCCTTACTCCCACGCCACAAACAGAGGGCGATATTCCATCATTCTCTCACTCTTGGCCACTTTGGCATCACAGACAATCGCCCAAAATCACACTCAAGACAAATCAAAGCCATGTCTGACTCTACTTCGAACTCTTCTTTGGATTCTGCTTCGGACTCGGTCTCGGAGTCTGCCTCTGACAGCGACGGTCCTCAGTTGCCATTCCGCAGCAGCCGCAGCGCCGCGAGACGCAGACGTAGAGCCCGTCAGGTATGCCCTTCCCAATCCTCATCCTTTCCCTGCCTCGCTGTATCTCCAGAGGTACAGTGTGAAGTTGGCTCAAAGGAAAAATAAAAAAAGATCATTCCCACTCACCTCGGTCTCACAGATGCAAGAACGGCGTCTCTATGAAGCCGATCTTCCTGATCATGACGATGATGACTCTGATGACGGCTATGCAAGCGAGTCTTCGGTGCAGTGGGCTACGACCCTTTACGCCACTCCCGAGCAGCTGAGAAACCTGCCTCCTCTTCCTCTCAATAACTCGAACTACGTGGCCGACAATGCTTCGATCTCTCATCCCGTCAACCCTGTCCCGGACTCTCCTATCCTTACAGAGTCTACATCGGAAGATTCTGAGACTGGCCTTAGCAACGCTGTCTTCGATGATTCTGACATCGATGAGGCTGCTTCCGACATCTCTGAGGATAGTCTCGCCGATGTCGTCCCCGATCCCCGTGTTCTCGAAGCGATTGCCTCTGCGGGTTCTGAGCGAAACCCCATCGTGATCAAGAGCGCTCGCATCATCACCAGAATGAGAGCCAGAATTGCGGAGAACCCTGCCACCGCCATTCAAGAGCGCCGAAATGCCATTGAGACCATCGGCGAGATCTTTCCGTTGCGCCTACTGACTTATGGTGGTGGCTTTTTCACTCCGTTCCAGCCCCTTGGCGTGTGGCATGAAGACATCCTTCTTAGCGACATAAACGCCTCATTGGCACTGGAGCTGGCTTTCAGCCGTCTGGTCGAGTGGTCCGATACCGTCAGGGCCCTCAGGGATCTAACGCGACAACTCACTGAAGAGGTCAGTGACGAGGAGTACATCACTGCCGAGGAGTTCCTCACTGACGAGGAAGACTAGTTGGGTCGAATTAATCAGGAGCTACATGGTGTTCGAGAGATGTTGGAGGGTCGACACCATGTGCATTCGACACCTTTGCTTACACAGTCCGAGTTGAGCGACATTAACAACACTGTCCTTAGCCCTCGCGAGCTGCGCATCGAGATCGTCGAGTTCGTAGCCAGGGAAGTGGGCTTCATTGTTGCCTCGACTTACATCAACCGCTACCACCTATACCTCCTGGAGACCCTCTCCTATCGCCCCCATCTTATCATCGCGACGCTGTGTTGGGCAACTGCATTGGCTTTGTTGTTCTACTTGTTCTTTGCTGTGAGATTCTGAATGATCTCCTAAGAGGAGGTCTGGATGGTCCATAGGGGTTATCGGGAGGCACGTTCGGAATTAGAAAGCCACCTGGCTTTGTGAGTTATCGCTGTTTGGAAGGTAGTCTTCCCATGGAGGACTTCTCATCATGATCATTAGTGCCAGAGGTAGCTTAGGGCAAATGTTACACAAGAGCTACCCACAGACCACATCTCACTCATTCCGACCATGTGTGGGCAGAGCATAATCCGAGACGTAAGGCCTTGCAGGACTCTATTAGAATAGCTCACGTGCCATGTCGAATGTTGAGAAAGCATAGTTCTCAACTCGGCTGCAACACTTTATGTTTGACCTTTTCAGACCGCGCCAGCCATCAGAGACAGAGGTTCAAATGAGGGGTGAGAAGGATTCAAGGCCTGACGACTATAATACGGGCAATTCCGATTGACAATACTGGATAAGGGATGTTTAGAATGGGCATATGAGGTTTTGAGGAAAGCTCATCAGCTGGACGCAACACGTAGGTGTTCGTAGCAAATTCAGTCCATCCGCAAACCACCCATGACTCGCGGCACCGGTGTCGGGATCATAAAGCACCGCCACCTTGGGATCCGTATATTTTTTGTTTTTTCTCAGGGGCGTGCTCCAGCTTTTCGGCCCAGTGGTGCCCAGCCGGGGCCCGATGAATAAGGGGGTTTTCTCCACAAGCTTCCCCAACATCGTTACCCTGGCGTGCAGGCGGAGAAAGGCAATTGCCCCAAGATGAGTTGGAGAAGCTCTAGAACTGCCAATGTCTCTCAATAAACGGTCACATGAGGCAAGTTAAAATTGGAATTCCAGCCACGAGCTCTGTTGCGTCGGTGACAATACGAGAAGAGACCCTGAATAGCAGGGCTCAGTTGCCAATAGCTCGGATATAACAAGGGTTTTGGGGAATTAGAGGTTGCGTGCTAAATTTAGGTAGGTGAGTCTTTGAGAGAGGGCGGATTTCCTTCCGTTAGGCGTTGATGATTGTCTCTTGAAGTCGCTTTCCGGTGCGAATACAGCTTTCGCCCAGGCTGAGGCTGGAATGCTTAGACTTGATTCCGTCTCCCCCGTGCCTTTTGATTGGTCTCCAGAGACTTCCAAGCATTCAAGCCACAGATGTCTCGTTTCTCCATGTTGCTAAAGTGCTAAACTGTTGAGGTCAGTGATAGTGGCAAGGTGTGCTTTGGTAGCTCCACCTCTAATCCCAGTTTATCAGGCCGGACCAGTCCAAAAACGTCACCGGGCCCAGTTTATCAAAAATCAGACTGTCTGTCACTCTCTCATTAAAAACTTGCGGTCAGGACTCAGGAGGCAGCGGTGTGTTCTTGATCACTTCAACTTTCAACCTCAAGCTCACTCACCCCTTTGCCTCATAATTCGCTCTCGCCATCTCATCAATCACCTCCTGAATTACTCGCGCGTACCCATTATCTACTTTTAATCCTAAGATGCCTCACAGCACGGAGAGCCTCAAGCTCACCAGCAACAACCTGTCCTCAATCTCCTCTCAGGAAGGCAAGCAGACCGTAAAGGTCCCCACGTACGACCGCACCGTCGTCAAGGAGGGCATCGTCCACGTCGGAGTCGGCGGCTTCCACAGAGCTCACTTGGCTGTCTACATCGACCGCCTCCTCCAGAAGCACGATGAGCGCGACTGGGCCATTTGCGGCGTCGGCCTCCGGCCCAACGACGCCGCCATGCGCGACGTCCTGAGCGCCCAGGACCACCTCTACACACTCATCGAGCGCTCCGCAAAGGGCAGCAACGCCAGCGTCATTGGCAGCATCAACTCGTTCCTCTTCGCGCCCGACGACCGCGAGGCCGTTATCGCCAAGATGGCCCACCCGGACACCAAGATTGTGTCCCTGACCATCACTGAGAGCGGCTACTACTACAACGAGAACACGCACCAGCTGCAATCGGAGCACCCCGACATCCAGCACGACCTGGCCAACGAGGACCAGCCCATCAGCATCTTTGGCTTCCTCTACGCCGCGCTGGCTAGGCGTCACGCCAACGGCCAGAAGCCCTTCACCGTCCTCTCCTGCGACAACATGCAGAAGAACGGCTCTATCACCCGCTCCATGCTCGAGTCCTTCGCCCGCCTCAAGAACCCAGAGATCGCCGCGTGGATCGCCGAGAAGGGCGGCTTCCCTAACGCCATGGTCGACCGCATCACCCCCAGTACCTCCCAGAACGACATCAAGTCGCTCGCAGAGGTCTTTGGCATCGAGGACGGCTGGCCCGTCGTCACCGAGCCCTTTATGCAGTGGGTCGTCGAGGACAAGTTCTGCGACGGCCGCCCGCCCTTTGAGAAGGTCGGCGTCCAGATCGTCGAGGGCGTGCACGAGGTCGAGCAGTTCGAGAAGCACAAGCTCCGCCTCCTCAACGCCTCGCACTCCGCCATGGCCTACCCCGGCCAGCTCGCCGGCTTCAAGTACGTCCACGAGGTCATGGAGCACCCCATCTACCGCAAGTTCGTCTGGCAGATGATGCAGGAGGAGGTCAAGCCCCTGCTTCCCGAGATCCCCGGCGTCGACATTGACGAGTACTGCAACACCCTCATGGAGCGCTTCTCCAACCCCACCATCATGGATCAGATCCCCCGCGTCGCCCTCGGCGCCTCGGGCAAGATCCCACAGTTCATCATGCCCTCCATTGCCGAGCAGATCTGGACCACGGGCCCCTTCCGCCGCCTGTGCTTCGTCGCCGGCGCCTGGTTCCGCTACATCAACGGTGTCGACGACGAGGGCAAGACCTTCACTGTCGACGACCCGATGCGCGAGGAGCTCCAGGCCTTGGCAAAGGCCGGCGGCAACGACCCGCGCCAGCTGCTCAGCGTCAAGATTCTCTTCGGTGACGACTTGCGCGGCGACCAGCGATTCATTGATGAGGTCACCAAGGCCATGGAGCTCATCGCCAAGGATGGCGTGATGGCCACCATTCCCAAGTATGTTGATTAAAGCGAATCAATACTGGGAAGTGTAAAAGTGTTTGTCGACTTGTGCTGGTACAAGCAGCCTTTTATGTTATAATGAGTAAAGCAAGGATAAAAATGGGTACTTGAAGCGGTCATGAGAATTTATAGATATAGATATAGATATTTATAGAGACATTTTGTGTTTTGATTTTGTACAAAACGAGGCCATCCCGTGCGTTTGATGTCAGTTGCAAAAGAATTTGACTCTGACACGAATACGAAAGGTGGAGGTGCAGTGCGCAAACGACCAGGAGAGGGATCTAATGCTTTTCAACTGCCAACATGTCTCCCACCAGCCTCAGATATTCTTAGAGCTCTTTAATGCATCGAACAAACCACTTGCCTCCCTCACCTACCTGGCAGACTTTTGTTATCCCTATCAACCCCTCTTTTTGGACTCGACAAAGCAAGGCAAGGGAGTAAAAGTTTCGAGAGGGAGCGGGCAACCCCTTCACTCGATATTCAGAAAAATGAGGTCATGGAACAAGACAAAGGGAAAGCTTCTCCCTAGAACGTCAACAATCTGTACTGCAGGCTGTTTTCGTTGACCTAGCTCCTTGTTGGCTCGAGCTGTGCGATGGCCTCAATCCGCCCCAAGGGCTTTCTCGACTGGCTTTAGAAATTCGAAGACGATGAGGGTGCTATCCAATAGCTACAAATAGGCCTCGGCTGCCAGTGATCTGGACTTTTTCTTTTTCTGGTCATCGACTCATCAACACCCAGAAAGTCCATCAAGTCCGCCTTTGCCTAAAGACCTATTCATATCACAGCTTCGGCACAGCTTTCAGAGTCGTCCGTCTGCGATTGAAGCAACTTGCAAGGTCTTTTTCCACGATCCTCGCCAGTAAGTCACTGAATTCTTCCATGGTGCCACTCATGTTCAGCCTCCATCTCAAGTTGCTAAGTACTAACGAATTGCAGTCTTCAGATGACCGATCAACTTCCCATCATGGAAATCAAGTGGAATCTCACTGTGGGCGAGAGAGTGAGTTACTACTTACATCCGATTCTACCTTTACTCTGCTGACCTGAGGAATCTGGAAAGTATGTGAGACTCGACGCCGCCGGTGCCAGCTTGAGTATCTTGGAAGAGGCGCAGAAGACCGTGACCCCCGAGAAAGTCGAGCAGATCGCCGACGAACTCACCACGGAGGAGCAAAAGGAAAAGGTATTTGAGGGCATCCATTGTATAGCAGCTACCGATACCGATACCTATTCGTTTGTCTTTGAGACCTTGGTCGACATGTACCTGATGTCTTACAAGCTCAATGAGGACCAGAAAAAGGCGATTGAAAGTCTGGTTAGCGAGGTTAAGGAGTTGCGTGGGCAGATAGAGAGGCAGCGCATCAGGTTATGCCGCGCGGAGCGATTGGCCATGCTAAGAAGCAAAGGGGAGGATCCTTATGGGTGTTAGAGGTCACTGTTTTCTCTACCTTGGGGTACATGTACTTTTCAAGTGGAGAGTTGAAGTCATGATTCACCTCGGTACGTACCTGTGGTAATTGACACAATGCCCCATCCCGAGATCCAAGGCTGGTTCGACTCGTATCAACAAACGTACTTCCAAAACATTCCCCGAAATCGAAATCGAAAACTTCTTTGAGTGCTGACATCTGAGTGACAAGTCTACAATCCCTGTCCTTAGGTACGCCGGCACCTTACTGTAACGCAAGTTTAGGTCCCCGGACCATAGTCCCGCACCCGGCATTTTCACATCTGAGTTGCCTCGCTTGATTACCAGTCGTTCGTTCCTCGCGAGTTTTAGCTACGCCATGGCTGCTCCTACGGCGGCGTTCCTCGCAAGTACCGATCTGTCGTCCAGCTTCCCTCTCTGACCACAGTTGCGCCTGGGTCACGATCATGAAGCTTGCTCCTTACGCTTTACCAAAATTTCAAAGGTGCCTTTATCGTTGTTGCCAACTATCATCCGGCGGTCAAATATCTTAGGTACGCAAGAGTCACCAAGAAAACAAAACACCAGGTTGGAAGATAGCCGACGACCCACCTGATAACCAACGAAGATAGCGTCAACGAATAGGGTGAGAAGCAAACAACCCACAAAAGTTCGCGCCGCCGCTTGATTTTGCTTCGTGAAACCAAGTAATGCCAAGACCTGTCTTTGGGAAATTCTCCATGGATCATAGACCTTTGAGCATCGTTTACCACATATACTGATCTGCGAGAGGCGAATAAGAAGCTTCCACCATATCCTGGCAAGGTGGTGTACAGGCTTAGCACCGCTCCTCGTTGATGCTCAAGACTATGTTCAGATATCTCCACCCGACTTTCCGGCTTTCTATCCGCCATCAAAGTAGTAGCTACTAGCCCAAGGACATATGCTTTCCCATGAAGTGCTCTAAATGCTATAAATTGAGTGCTGGCCTTGAGCTCGATGTTGTTTTCTATCTGCTCGCCGACTTGTCAACCTTTTGGCACACCATTCCACTTGCGCTCGAATCCCCTTAGACAACATCTTCAGAGCCCTTCTATCCAGTCTTTTCTAGAAAAGGTTTTGACCGTTCCGAACTAGAGAGTCTTCAGTCTTGCCGTTGTCCTTCAACTTCCAAACACCTAATCGACCATCCATCTCCAAAGCTGACGTTCCACGTCTCTACCATAGTGGCGTCGAACACCTCTGGGCATGGAATAGCCGTAAGTAGTCTTCATTGGCTCGCACACCTTCCATCAGTTCGTGCAACCTCGGCCGAAAATCTTACAGTCAGCTGGATTTGACTTACGAGTGCCACCCGAGAAAGTATCATCAAGGCGCGCCAGGAATACCGCGTATGTGCAGACGCTGCTTTGACATTGGAGTGTCTTACAGGTGTATTAGACCTTGACTAATGATCACAAAGTCATCTATCCTCACGATGAAACCGCCACATCTAGCCGACATAGGGTGCCTATCCTCGAAGCCGAGAGTAAGTGCGCAGTCTTGGGGAAAATGTCCTTGGAGCAAACATGACCTGAACTAACAAAATCCACCGAGTTTGATGTTTTCAACTTGCTCCGATCGTTTGGCTGGAATAAATCAATTGTTGAAAGCTACAAAGGGTGGCGTCATCCACATGAAGCGATCATCGCGAGTAACACATAGTTGAGCTAGAAAAGTGTGGAGGTGATCACGGATATCGTCGGTTATTGCACATTGAGGAATACTGTGGGCGCACATTGCCACTGTTGTGGCGCTCAATCCCTTCCTATGTTTAGCATTATCCACATGTTCGAGCTCGTACGGCAGCTGGACCACGACTTTCACAACGAGCTACAAGAGACTCGCGCGTTGCTTAAGACCGAGGTGACCGGCGCTGAGTTCATGGATCAGGAAGATAGTGATTAAGGGAATGGCCATTGCCTTGTTGTTCCTCGCTGATGCGGCTTTCAGGTCTTGCATACTGGTTGACTCTAGGCACCCCAGACGAAGTACACATTTGGTTTTGCAGTCGGATTAGGAATGATGATTGATGAGTGAGCATCATTATCGATAGCACTACAACCGAGGAATGTATTCTATTGTTTCTTATTGAGCCAGTAACACCAATCAGTCCTACCACCGCAAATCTTGTTCGACCTCATACCTCGCAACTCCTCGTAACTTGGTGCGATTAGAACCTGCAGTGGAACCTCATATCACGTTTAGGAAGGGAGTTCGGGAGGCGGGGACAGCCCGGAGTACCTAGCCTTCTCGGATGTGGCAGCTCGACAGCCGCCGAACCATGTGGGCACTGGTCGTTCCTTCCCGGCCGAAATTCAACTTCACCTGCTCCTGCCCACCTACCATGTCCATCTCTCCAGCTGGGTATTTGCCTGGGTATCTCTCATTGTGTGATCCCGTCACCTGATTCGATACGTACTTGGTCCAGAAAATTCAGTGAGTCTCGAAATTGTATTTTCTCGAGCCTAGAGCCAATAATGCCCTCTTTTCGCCCCACCCACCGCGATCACTTTGTTGATGTCCCAGCGTCAGTTGAACTGCCCTTTTGATGTTCCATTCAGAAAAAACAGCATCAAGTCAGCAGAATGGTTGGCCACATGGCCTTGTACGTGTGATTTCACAAAGCAGCCTTTGTGCCTGTTTCCCCATATCCCTTCAAATATCTCCCTGCTGCAAACACAACAGATAAGCCTCGACGCAATGTTCCACATCAGAATGGCCACCGCCTTTGAAGCTCCTCAACCACCTCTCAGACGCATTCTGTCATTGTCCAAAGGGACACAGTCAAGGCCGTCAGGGTCCACCGGCTGAGTAGCTTGATGCAGACCGCTGACGCACCATTTCAAACTCATCGTCACTTTGAGCAGGTCCAACTCGAATCCCGTCACAACCTCTTTGAGATGTAAGTCTTCCATAAGTGACAAGTCCATAGAAACCTAGGTTTTGTTAGCAAAAATACTTGTGGGCTGTTATGGAGGTGCTCGAACCAGGTCCGAAATCTGCACACCTTGCTGAGCAGCCTGCCTATTGTTGGCGTTAAGGGCATCTCTCATGCGACCGAGTAGTTGTTCAGCTTCATCTTCCACCTTCTTAAAGGTTTCTTGTTCCTGATCGCTCGTGGTCGACTTGGTTTCGATGGCTGAGCGGACGCTCTCGAGCCTTTCGGAGATCGTACTGGACTGAGATTGAATGGCAAAGATCACCTGCATGCGGTCCCAGATCTTTTCCATCTCCTGCGGCGGTAACAGTCAGCTTTCCAAGATTCATGACCTGAGATGTGTGCTGCGAGGGCCAACTATACCGCTTCTCCTCCCATGATGACCGTCATCTTTCTGCCATTCTCGTCGGTGGCCACTTGTTTCTTGGGCCTGTCCTGTTTGCCGCCCTGATTACCCAACTGCTCAGTGGTCTCTTGATGGATCTTTCTGGCCTTCGTCCCCTTTCTCTGCTTCTTTCTAGATACGTTCTTCTTTTTGGCCATTGTGAGGGATTTGGCTGGTCGATATGGGGGCAGATTCGTGTGGTTGGTGAAGGCTACTATCTGTATAAAGAGTTTTGGGGATGAAGATTGGCCTGTGTTGAAGATAAATGTGGAGGGTACCGTTTGACAGTATTTGGACAGGTTGGGAATGCGGAGGGTAAAGAGGGTAAGCTAAAGTGTTGGTTCAGAAAGGTTGCGGGTGGAGGCAGATTCTGTGCAAACGGCCACGCGCCCACGTCGCGCGACGTGTCGTGCCTGTCAGGCACCAACCACAACGTTTGAGTCTCCAAACTCAGATGGGAAGCGACTGAGGGACACCGTCGAGTCGACCAATTCTGAACATGGCTCAGAGAGGGATTGTACATGTATCAGTTGGTAATGTAATTCTTGGCAGGCTGGAGTACTTCCTCATGTGGAAGCTACAAATCTCACTTATCTCCGCTCACCAGAACAAGCGCACCACGCCGAACGCCAAACAGCCAGGCAACTTCTACACGAGAAACTTTGACTACCTGGATGAGTCCAGTAGGCCGTTGATACCTTAGTTGGGTTATACGCTGGACTACCTTTGGTTAAGGACGTGCCCCTGCTTTCCACCACACTTGCGCCAATCTGGTGTCGGACCCCGGTCCGGCCCGCTGGAAGTGTCTTCCGGTGGTCCCCATTGGCCTGCAAGCCCGCTGCACTGCCTCCTCACCATCCCTCTCTGCCAACCACATTCGTCCGGTGACATTCCCAGACCTGTGGCGTTTTTGACCGTTGATTGCGGCTTAAAAGTACTTTGACAACGCGCCTTTCCAAATAGTACATACCGAAGAGCATTGCCTTTGGCTTCGTCTTTGTGGATAGCAATCTTGCTTACGCCCCAAATAGAGTGGAAGTGTAAGATGGAGGCACCACCTTGGGTGTGCCGTAGACTCTTTGTAGACAAGCAGGACAACATGATCTCAGGTGTCCTCGGTTTGGAACTGGGCTGGGCTCCAACGAATCACCCTTAATGAGGGCTTTCGTCGTTCGAGGAAGTTTGGTAGGAAAGCTGATCTTGTTGCATTTTCTCATCACATTTAGGATATTCGACACACAGTCGGGAATGCTAGGCTGACTGTAACCTTGGAATTGCCGTCTCTGATTACCCTATCCTTGAATCCCAATACTGAAGCCGGTGATCCACCAGGTAGCCCAATCCTTCACCTTCTCAATCCCAAAGACTAAAGACTTTGGTCTTGAAAGCATATCTAGACTTTGCCAAGAGCGCATGACCGACCGTAAGCTAGAAGGATCTCACATATGGTACACATAAGTTGTGTTCGGCTGGGTACGCGTCTCAAAGGCCTCAAGCTCCTCCTGAATAACATCACGGGCCAGACCCTCCATGTTCTCTCCAAAGTCCTCTTCGATCTCGGCCTTCACATCCTTGTACAGATCGGTCTTCATAGCGTCCTTGACCTTGGTAACCTCGGCAGCAACGGTAACGGGGACCAACGCCTCGATCTGAGAAAGCATCCACTGAGAGTCATCGCCGGTCTTCTTCTTGATGGCATCATCCATCTGCTTGGAAAGCTGATTCTTGAAGTAGAAGTCGAGAGCGTCCTGCAAGTTGGCGACGACACACTCTTGAATGATAGGAACAGCACCTCGAATAGCAGGGAGCATGTGCTCCTCAGTCTTGGCCGCAAGAGTGGTGCCAATGGCTCGTTGGGCGTCGTGCACAATCTTAGAGACATCGTTCTTGATCTCTCCCTTCATGGTGTCTTTGAGCTGGTCCAGGGCATCTTGCGTGAGAGCGACCTTGATTCTGTTGAAGACCTCTTCTTTGATCTCATTCTTCAGCTCATTGTTGACTTCGTTCTGGATCTCCTTAAGCTCGGCAATGACACTGCCCTTCACGTCCTCCATGATGTCGTACTTTAGCTGGCTAACCATCTCAAGTCTCATCTCGCGCTTGACATCCTGCTTGACCTTGAACGTGATGTCGCGCTTGAGGATATGCTTCAGCTCCTCTCTGAGCTCATAGTAGAGGCGGCCCTTGATGTCGCCGGTGAGCTCCTGAGCGAGCTCCTGGATGAGACGCTCTTCGATTGAGCTCTTGAATTCTCCGTCGACTCTTGCCTGAAGCTCCTTCTTGAGCTCGTTCTTGAGTTCATGCATGATGTGAGCCATGAAAGCAGCGGTGTTGTCGCTGGGGAGCACCTGATCAAAGACAGGCGTCTCCTTTGACGGGCTGACGGAACGGTGGAACAAGGGGGAGTTACGATTGACAGAGGTGTCCCCAAGGGAAGAGATGTCGGACAGAATTGAACGCTCAGACTTGATGCCCTTCGAGCCAGACAAGGCGTCCTTGGACGCTCTATGCATATGTCCCCAGCAGCAATCGTCAACAGTGTCCTTAGTAGGGCTGACGTTGTTAGTGCCCTCGATATTGTTGGTATATTCAGTCGTCATAGCGCTGCCGGTGCAGCCAGAAGCGGCAGGGCGGTGAACGTGGTGCTCGTTTGCCATGAGCTCAATCGGCTCACGATTCAAGGCCTGGACGATGTGCTTCTTGTTGTCGGCCTCCATGTTAATGTGCTGCTGCTTCTCATTCTCAAAGGCTTCCTGAGCCGCAGCAATCTTCTTGTTGGTTTCGTCGAGACTGGCATTCAAGGCGGCTCTCTCCATCATGAGCTCCTACAGATCCATGGTCAGTATTGTAATCAACGGCGCTCATCAATCACATCGTAGATTCATCACTGTCAAAAAAACCAGCGTGAGAACTCACCTCGATGAGGTCGATAGATTTGACCGTCTTAGGAACGAGTTGCATCTTCGCGAACTGGTACACCTGCAATGATCAGCAAAATGAATCAAAATTGGTGCGCAAAGAAATTCTTACTTTTGGTACGCGTTATCTTGTGATACTTGTTGAGCTTTTGTTTTGGGGGATGCTTGAATGTGAAGATCGCAAGGTAAAATGAATTACTGTGCGAAGTGCGAGCGGAAGCGTGTGTATGAGAGGGGAAGAGTGAGGCAATGCGCGGGTGAGAGAAAATAGAGGATGCGGCTGGTAGAACGCGAGGTTGTTTTGATAGCGCGTTGGGAGGCCGTCTCATAGATTCCTGAGTGGGAAGGCGCGATTGAGGGAGGAGCTAGGCTTGGAGGTTGAGGCAGGTGCCAGCCATCAAACCCAGACTCACCTCACCTTCACCGTTATCCTCACCTTGGCCTTAGGTGAGAAGCATTCCAGGCACTCCAGCTTACAGACAAGATGCCTGAGGTATTTCTCTCTGTCTAGCTACCGGACGAAGAAAGGAACTTGTCAACTGCCATATAATGGAAGACGGAACGGGGCGGCTTCTTATCGAGCTCTCAACAGCATTAATCCGGGTTGTAGCAAAGTCTCTTTACGCCGTGTTGCCTGTATGAACCACCCACTTGATGGAAAAGATTCATCGAACTCAAGTTTGGCCGGATATAAATACAAATGATGAATGGCGTGTCATCCTAATGGTCCCATAGACCCCTTCCTCGTCCGGGAAGCCATGAAACTTTTGCTGTTCCTCATCGCTTTGAGCCCTCAACCAACATCTTATATCTTCAAGCATGCTGCTTACTGTTGTATCTCTCATTCAGATCGGGTATGAAGACCTTTCCGCCCCCCCCCCCCCCTGGTGTCGAGTCTTATTTCGTCTTGGGTCATCTTTGTTACGTTCCAAAGTTTCCTTCATCCAGCTTCTGGCCTTACATCTGAATTTGTTCGAACAACTACCTCTGTCTGTCTCGGAGAGACGATTCCCCGGTCCCGTTGTTGAGCATTGGTAGTTTGCGGGTGTCGGAGTGATTTGCAATCGGTACATGGAAGTGAGATCTCGCTTCCCAACTTGGGCTCATTCATAGAACCACCCGTATAATCTGCCTTTAAGCCGCTTCTGATGTGTTGTTTTTATTCGGCTGAATTTTGTTTTCCTTTCTTGGCATACAATTTCCGCAGTAATCCATCTTCGGGGTCCTCGGGATCCTCGGGGTCTTCATACTTGCGCTGTCGCTTGAGTCCCGTTGCGACTTATATTTGCTATTGAAAGCAGAGATAGTGTCTGTAGTGAAGGCAATATTCTCTTGCGCCTTCTTTGTTCACAATCACCCTCATGAATCTCACGTATCATTTGTCGCCCACGGTCAGTATTAGAGATCTCAGCTTGCAGCCGGCGGTGGTCGCCATTTTGAGCACGATTCCTGCCGTCAATGAGCTCCCCCAAGTTAGAATCGTTTGACATCTATCTTGCAAGCTCCGTTTTATTCAAGCAAGCTTTTTGAGAGTGCCTATAAGACCAGAACCACAGCCATAATGCGAAAGGATTTCTGCAACGGTCCTCCTCATAACAGCGAGAAATTTGACGGACAGGGGTGGTTTGTAGGGGGCCACCTGCACATTGAACGTCACATCGACAGTGGTTTGAGCCCTTATTTACCTCCCGTGAGTCCCGTCCTTGCTTCACAATTGACAATCCCGATTATTAGGAGCCTGGACCGTTTTGGCCGCCGAGAATAACTCCAGCGCTTCGAGTCAATGAGTTTTGGAGTCCTCCGCGCGCGCAGTTTTGCTGACGTGAACTTAGAGTTTAGGGCTTTATTCATGCTCGTATTGAAAGCGCTCTTTTGACGTCTCATAATTAGCGAGAACGAGGACGCAACCAAAGGAGAGACTTGGCCTGAGTAGTCATCCTGGCAGATTGCCCCCTATAGAAAACAGAGTGCCCTAACCGGGCCCACCAACTTACTTGCTGGTCCGGGTACTTGAACCATTTGAATTGAAGGACCTGACTCAGCGGGAAGGAGAAGCTTAAGAGCGCGGTCAGGGCGTCTCTGACTTAGGTTGCTGCCAAGAACATGGGGGCTGAACTTATGTAGGGGGGGAGGTCCAACCGTCCAAAGAGCCTGGACCTGATTAGCATCGGAAAGGGACGAAACACTTAATCAAAAACCAACAGTGAGGGCCAACTTTTACTCCTGAATTACACTCATTCTGACGGAAACAGCTCGGTGGCCTTCCCATGTGCTCACCCTGTCGCCATGTTTTCCCATCCTCGACGCTAATATGAACATAGCCGCAGAGTTTTGCGTCGCCCGAGCCCGACATTGCACGTATCGGAGTGCTCTCGATAGGCGCAGAGGATTCTAATCAGGGCGTACGCGCAGATGAACTCCCCGAAACACCAGTGTTGATCCCGTTGTCGTGTTCGTACTCTTCAATCCACACAATGACTCGTGCGAGAACAGACTCAACGCCCCTGAGCAATGTTGAATAACCCGTCCCAAGCTCATCAACCGCTTCGATTGTTGGAACTTGAGATTCCCCTTCGCGCCGTAGTCGAGTGAAGTTAAGCACCTGCAAGACCCGGTTGTACAAGGTCATGAGTTCTTCCTTCTTCTTCAGGAGCAACTGGTAGTCTTCCGCAGTCTTGGGTTGTTCCTCAACTTCGCGAGTGTCCAGATGTTCAAGTGCGACTGACACAATTTTTGTCACGGCCGCGATGTCTTGTGCGTTTATGCCCTCAGATGTGGGGATGCTCGTTGGCGGGTTATCGTTGCCCTGATGGTACGTCAACGGTTTTGCTGGCCTTTTTGGCAACTAACTTGCCCTGGGCCGATTGGAAGGAGACGTACATCGACTGAGCCGGCCATCATCAAATGTTTGGTGTTCGACTATTTGTACGACATGAGTGTATGAGCTTGCTTGGTTCGCGAAGCGCGAAGCGGGAAGCGGAGGATTCAATGTGTCTGATCGGTTGCAGTCGGATTATTGTGAGATTAAGGCAGCGTTAGAGATGCTGGAAGTAGGAAGATGGGGACCTGTGGGAAGATAAGGTAAGCGACTTTGACAACAGATAGGGAGAGTGAGATCAACGACCAGGTAGGTAACAACCGTGGGAAATCCGAAGCGCTCAGCAAGGAAAGTGCTCTTTGACGCCCTTTTCTTATGTTGGAACCATGTTACTGACCCATGCTCTTTCCGCTGGGCAGATTCTATCAACTCCAAGACATGTCAAATCTGCAAAAGGGCAGAGTCTTTCATTCAAAGTACAACGGCGGTAAGGCTGAAGTACTCCTCAGGCCTGAGCATGAATGAAGGAAGGCAATTCTGTCAGGGATCTGACTCAGCTGTCACCAGGTTGACCCAGGTTGCCTCCCGCCAGACCAACTGCTTAATTACAAGCCATGTCCCATACTAGTGTCACATATAGCATCGTCCTGTGGTTCTGTTGGTATTTCATCGCATTTATCCTCGCGGGTTCATCTCGAGCCACGCGTGCTAAAACTCAGTCACCTCCTATCGTCGATTCGTTGCTGGGCTCTTCCGGCCAAGTGTCCCATCCAGAACTCCGATCCGCCACAGCCAGAACGCGAGGCCAAAGAGATTCACTCAGAGCATGCTCAACAACAAATTGACGCGCGTCATATTCTCGATGAGGGCAATTTGAACACGGTCGAAAGCGGCCTGGAGTGTCTCTCCCATATTACCGGCCCGGATGACTTCCATCTCAATCTTGAGTACTGCCTTTCGCTGGGCCTTGTAAACTGCTAGTCCTCTCGTGTACTTGACGCGCTTGCGGCGACGCCATCTCTTGGTAAGGTAGGCATCAATGTCGAGGTCGATCATACAGTCTCCGACCTCGTCATGAGCTGCGACGAGAGCCTGAAAACACGAGACGATTAGCATGGCAGTCATGATCGATTGGGGGCCTTCAAGAGCGAACGTTGCTTACGTCGAGGAAGAGCTGCAATTGCCAGAGGACTACGGGGCTCTGGTTCTTCCACAACAACATCTCCTCTTCTGGCTTGTACGCGAGAAGAGGCTTCTCGGTCTCTTCGGAGGTGCCGTCTCTCTCGGATCCGTCTTCGACAGTTGCCTAGCGAGTAAATAACCGATTAGCAAAATTTCCGAGGCATCTGGTGAGTCCTGAGCTTACGCTGTGGGACGTCGCCATGGTTGTGGTTTGGTAAGTAGACGTCAATGTTGTTTTGATTGGAAACTTCTCGAGGGTGAAGGGATGCTTCTCGGACGAAGAAGAATTAGGCAGAGAAAGGGTTTCTCTACCTTGTCGATTAAGAAGATTATCCCACAGGCACCGTGGGCTCTAATGATGCCTCTGCCTCCCGCCGATGGAGCAAGGGGAGGCACGCCATCCGGGAGCCTCAGGTGACGAGCGCACCTGGAGATTCCATGTGTCCCATTCAGGCTATTTGTTGAGAGTTTGTAAGACTCATAATTCACAAACCATCCTGTGTGCGGGCGCCGTAGGCCACTTGTTTGAAGTGGGCGACGAGGCTCGAAATGGTCGGTCGACTTCTTTTGCCCTTTCTGGTGGAAGATTCGCTGTCGTTGCGTCCAAGCTAGGAGGTGTCGACGGGAAGAAAAGAGTCAGAGAGATCGAAAGTCCCGGTCTGGAGAGCCTGCCTCCAGCCGGCATCAACAGGGTGAAAAATCCCGTGAACTCGAAAACTAGATGGTTCGCGCGTTTGTTCTGATAAGAAGAACTGACGATTTCTTCGAGCATATTTTTATGCAGCACTGAACTGCTTAGATCATTCTTCTTTATAGCACTAATTGCTCCGATCAAATTCGTTTGTAGCACTTCATCGCTTTATTGGGATTGTGCCGTCCGAGGTAGATCGTCTGGTGTATGAGACGAGGAAGTCAAAGTTGCCGCGATTGTTTACCAGGTTGAGACGGTGATAGAGAAGGAAGGTAGCTAGGACAATGTGACGGATCAACTTCCGTCCCATTTGAGCTGCCTTACAGACAGGGAAGAAAGCTTCCTTTGTTGAGTGCCTCAGGCGGTGAGCCAGTGAGTGTTCACCTTGACACTTGTCTGTCACAACATAAAGGCAATAATCATGTTGTAGGACAAAGGAGCTCATGGGGCTGTTATTTGACTCGTATCTTTGACTGTAATCACGCGCCAGCAGACCTGATTTGTCTAGACGTACTTACAGCACACACTTCTAAGTATCAGGATCTTTGTAGTCGCCAACGCCTTGGTACACGTTGTGGTATGGCCACCTGCAATGTCTATGTTTGAAATCAACACCACTGTCACTGGTGCCATTCTTGTATCGGGTCCCCATGATGGTTTCTGGAGCCACTTCGCTCTCAACCCATCGAACCATCGCCATCAGCACGTTTTCCTCCAGCGCCAGACTGGCAGTGCTTGCTGACTGGTGGCTGATAAAGGTCGCCCCATTACCGCTGCCGCAGTGGGACATGCCAGAGATACGGAAAAATCGGTAGAATTCATCAAGAGCCTCTCAGTTCATGCCCATAGTTTGCGAGACATGTTCGTAATATCGAGGGGAATTCTCACTCGACAGAACGCCATCGGCTAAACCGTGCCAGTGGAGAAGCTTGCCACCGCGGTTCTGGAAAGCCGATAAATCACCATCCCAGGTATCGATGTTGAAGTGGTTGAGACCAGAAACAACGGTGTAGTTCTCCGGACGGAGGGTCATGGCTTCTCAGTTGGAGTCGTTGAAAATGGCATAACGATACCAATCCGACACGGGTGAGACTCCCCTGGAGAAGTAAGTGTCCACCGCTCCGGTAAACTCGGATCCAAGCTGCATCTTGGGGTAGACCAGGCTTCCGGCTGCATCCAGCACAGGTGAGTTAATGCTCTTGAGCGTCTCAAGTTGTGTACTCATAAGACAGCCAGTGCTTTGAGTTGCAGTGCACAAGAGGCCATCGGGTTTGTAGTTGCAGAGGTTAGGCGACTCCAAGATACCGTCTGCGACCCCATCAAGCTGATCGCACTGGTCAAGAATGTCTTGATGAATGATAGGCCACATGTCCAGAGGAATCAAGTTCGCAGACTCGGGCGTCCCAAGAAGAGGATAAAACTGAATAGCCCACGACGTCAAGTTGTTTCACGCAATAGCAGGCGCTCCAATAACGACACCATCGAACAGGTCAGGAAAGGACTGGACTGCCTTCAGCCCTTGGCGTCGGCCAGTTGGGCATCTTAGGTAGTAGCTCCTATCATGGGCTGCTCCGTAAAAGTCTTGAGTGATTTCCTTGCCAACAGCAACCCCATCCTGGATGGAGCGGTAGGCAAAGTCCTGAATGCCGTCGAGATTGTGGAGAAAGGGGGCTCCAGTGTACCCCTGATGTCCATTGTTGGTCGCACTGGTTTCAAAACCAAGAGAAACACCGTATTCGACGTCGTAGTATTGGATACAGCCGCCTAGTCCGCTGTCGCCTGTCACAAGGAACCTTCCAGACCAGTCCTCGGGTAGCCATGCCTCGAACCAGAACCCGGAACGGTTCGAGGTAGGGACATGAGCCGTAATGCGGCAAAGATTGACCGATACGGACTGAGTGAAGATGCCGCACGTGGCATCGGCTTCGGCGAGAGCGAGCTCTGTTCCGGACGTGATGTACTCTGACGTGAAACAGACACCACCAGCTGAAGACGTGAAGGACTCGCAGTGCTGCTGGAAGTCTGCCATGCCATTGACGAGTTCAACCAAGAGACCGGCGTGAGCTAACAAGCCTACAACGCTTGGTTTGACCATCGCTACGCCTGTTTGGTAAGGTGTAGCGAGTTTGAGACAGTGTGCCTTCAGCCGTAGTCGCGACTGGGCAGATGAAAAGGTTGAAAAAGTATGACGCCGAGTATGAAAATGAACCTACTCCATGGGAACTAAATATATCGTATCCTGATGAAGCAGAGCAGCTTTTATAGCCAATACCCGACCACTCACTTCAGGAGAGATGCATGCCAAGCCTCTGCTCATCTTCAGAATGAGTGGAGGCAATCAAGAAAGTGAGGAACCACAATGTGAGCAAGTTCCCATCGTTATATCCGCTGAGGCAACATGTACTACTGTCAGCTACCGGGGTTACCGGACCTGCCTATCAAAGCTGATCGAAGCCTCGAATAGGTTTGAGGCCCTGTCATTGGCAATGATAGTGGCTGCTCTCGGCCGACAACGGGTATGATCTCAGTCCCTCCGGACCATTGAGCCTGTAGCAAGAAGAGAGGGAACTCAGTCAATGCTACTACGCTTCTTTTTCTTCCAGAACGAGTTTGAGGCACAAGGACAAGAGAACACATGTTCTCGCAGTCTAGAACCCTGACATAAAAATCGGCAAGACATTGCAATAACTCAGCGAGGTCATGCGATGGTTCTGTTTGGTTTCAAAGGTGCTCCAAACCAGCATCCGTTTCGTTATGGGCTGTATTCACTGTTGGTGTATACCAGGTCAACTGGCCATGAATTGGATTTCGGCAGATTTTAGGCGGTCTTGCGGGAAGCTAGTCTTCTCAAGCATTGTGTCCAGAATCAATGTTAGACTCCCTGTATATGAAGTGCTAGAAGATGACTGGACCCTGATCAAGAAGTCGGAATGATGTTACTCGCTTGTGACTAAACACCTCCGAGGGAATAATTGCCTGTTTAGGTAGTTGCCAATGGTTATCGTTGCCGTTTGTCACTTTACGGAGTGCTCAGGAACTTTGAGTGTGAGGACTCACCCCTGTCCCGCTCACTGCGGTGCGTCTGGTGGGTCATTTAGCAAGTAAGGTTAATTTGTGTCTGGGTCATCAAGTCCGGGCTTATGTCCATTATGTAAACCTCGAGTGTGCTGACATACTACTTAGCCGCACTATCTTACTAGGAAACCTTCTCTTTGCAAAGGATAGCGACCAATATCGAACCCACACTTTTTGGCAAGTGTACACGTACTTTCCATGTTACTTTGAAACGGTTTGATCATGCAAGCTGTAAGCCATTTCACATAAAGCTCAGCGACTATTCACAGAAGCGATAGAAACCATTGTCGATCTTCACTGTTTGATACTTGACTTAGTACTCAACTCGTTTGAGACCAGATGTGCCTTCTACAAACCCAGAGTAGCTTCAGAAGGAGCCAGAGAGAGGTAGACATCGACCGGGCCAGGATAGTGAGAGGATCTCTCATGGACTCATGGCTCTGGGAGTTCAGGTGTGATCTACTTAGTGAATGGTACCTCGGGTTCTCCGAGTCGGCCCGAAGATGCGTCCATATCTACTGGAAGGAATGTGTTCTTTGGATCTCCCAGGTTAGACACAATCAAGCCCGCATGGCTGATGTATCAAGAGGCAAAGAGCTTCGGGCCTCTCCGAGAGACCTCGCGCAGGAATAGGATACGAGAGCGAGTGTGGGTCGTGGAAAATGGAAGTCGGGTCACGTGACGGGTAGTGAGGGTTCAAATGATTGAAGCTATCACGACATAGGTAGGTAATGAGAAGATTATGTAGGGAGCAGGATACAAGTTAGCTTTGAACACCCTTATTGTACCATTTCTTTCGTATTAATGGCCGTTTGTCACAGTTTAACTCTTCTGTGAAACCATGTAGAGAAACAATAAAATGAATTTGAACACTTGATGCCAGTTGGTCGCAAATAATCTACATTTCCAACTTCTCTCATTCGGCAGTCTTTGTGTGGTATTTAGGTATGACTAAGCTTGTAGCGCATTCCATGTAGAAAACTACCTAGTAGCTTAGCCTGGCTGTTTTTGATGGGGGGAATCCGAGGATGTGGCTATGCGTTCAATTAGGCGGGGCTGTGCTGTGATGCTTGCGTACGGGGGCTGATCAAGGAATTTTCCTCAATTGTCATATCAATGGAATACCTTCCGCTCGTCCACTCTTAGTGCATGGAGATGCTGTGGTTCTGGAACTTAGAACGCATCAAGCTCTTGAGAGGACGCACATTCATGAATCGCGAATGCCGACAGCTGAAAAGGGGCCACTGACTGGGATTAAGAGCTCCGCGCGTTCCACGGGGAACGGTGCTTGACGAGAATCGCCCGCGCGACGACAGCATGGTTCGAGAAACTCGCGCCTCAGCGCGTCACAACGATTCGAGCGACACCGGAAGCACAGTGGCAGACAACGCCAGGGCCCAAGAGACTCGCCGCTCTCACAAGAAGTCTCGGAATGGATGCGCAGAGTGCAAGCGCCGTCACATTCGCTGCGACGAGCGTCAGCCCTCATGCGCGAATTGCGAGGTGGCAGAACGTGCCTGTTTCTTCCCACCGCCAAAAGTGAGCAAGCAGAAGCGCAGACAAGCACAAAAACCTCAATCACAAGGCGAAAGGTCACAGGGCACATTGGTGCGAAACGCTCGATCACCATCACCAGGCTCCAGAGGAAGTAGTCATGGCAATACAAACAATGACGCGAATGCGCTGATTGAGCGCGCACAGCTGCCCTCACAACCAGCTCATCGTCAACAAAGCAACTCATCCGAACTCACTCATGCGCCAAGCTATCCGTCTCATGGCATGCCATCAAGGCCTGCAGACGTGCCAGCCGCGGTTGGTCTCGGCCTTAGTTCTCATCAGAGTGACCAGACTCAATCCCCAGCTTCGACAACGCAGCTGAGCGGCACCCATGCCCCTCCTCCATCTCTAGACTGCCAGCTCGGCTTGTCAATATTAGGCACGCCAAACGCACCCTCAGAGGCCATCTACACACCACAGCACATGATATTGCTACACCATGCAGCCTCAGTCCCATACTTCACCGGCCCAGCCCGAAGCGCCCTCGACATCGCCGTCCGACGCGCCGTGGACTCACCCTACCTCCTCGACGAGATCCTCGCCTTCACAGCCTTCCACATGGTCCAGCTCTATCCCGGGTCATCCGCCCATCTCCACGACCTCGCCACAGAGCTCCAGAACCGCGCTCTCTCATCCTTCGCACGCCTCACGGAAACAGTAGCCAGAGACGACAAGGTCACCGCCGTCCCTCGCTTCCTCTTCTCCGCCATCCTGGGCAGGCATGTCCTCGCCGACACCCTCGCTCACTACCGCTCCGACTTCAAGTCCTTTATCGACCGCCTCGTCGAGTGCTTCAACCTCAACCGCGGCGTCAAGTCCGTCACCCTGCCGGCCCGGAACTTCCTCCGAGACACCGAGCTCGCACCCGTCCTCAACGTCATCCTCGAGGCCGAGAAGAGGATGAGCACGAGGGGCGACGAATGCGGGACTCTGAAACGCCTCCTAAATGACTCCGACCTCAGTGATTCGAGCGCGAGAGCGTGCCACGAAGTCATTGGGCTTCTGCAGTGGTGCTTCGACATTTGCCGCGTCCTCGACGAAGGAGACTACGCCCAGGCTGCGTCGTCGTTCTCTGTAAAGGTGCCGGTCGGCTTCGTCGATATGCTGCGGAAGCACCGTCCCGAGGCCCTCATCATTCTGGCACATTACGGCGTCTTGCTGCACCGTTGTCGTACCTTTTGGCCCTTTGCTGACGCTGGCGCCTTCATTATCCGCGCCGTTGCTAGGCATTTGGGTAATTACTGGCAAGAGGCGCTTTCGTGGCCCCTGCTAGTGCTTGAAACTGAGCCGTGAGCCATTGTATACCGATTCCACGTCGCTGTACAGGCACTGGATTTGAGACACGAACCATATGAGCACAGGATCTACTCGGGAATCATCTTAGTAAGACTGTGTATATATGGTAACGTCTACACCACGCTGGGACACTACCTCAAAATTATGTCAACATGTTTTCCAGCATTGTGTTCCTCAAATCAGGTGTCCTTTTCCCCAATCCAATTACGGGAAAGCGGCCTTGTTCGCCTCCAAGAACTCCTTCCAAGTAGTCGCCTTCAGCCCGACGCCAGCCAAAAGCTCCTGACTCTCCTTCAAGTCCTTACCGGCATAGTACCCGGGCTCGTCAATAAAGAGGTGGTTCTCGAGCATCTCGTCAGCCATGGCAGCCATCGGACCAGCGAAGAAGGACTTGTACGTCGCAGCGTCGACGGGCACGAAACGGGCTGTCTTGCCAGTGAC